GCAAGTAAAGGAAAGGAACTGTGGAACGTGCGGCAAGGTAGGGCATAATGCGAGAACGTGTCAAATAGTTGTTTCGATGTCTGGAGAAGAGGAAAGCGATTAGTTTTACTTGATTGCGTGATTTGTTGTGTTCTCATGACGATTCCTGTCTCAAGGGTTAAGATTTTTGTAACACTCGCTTGTTTGTAACACTCGCTTATCATGTACGTTAGTGGAGCAACTTAGCTTTCAGCCACTGCGGTACAAGACACTACTCGGTTTGAATGCGATAAAGTCTTGTGAAGTGATCACTATTGTAGCCAGAATAACCAGATCAGGAATCAGAACATCGCTGCCTCGCTGCCTCTAGGTCAGGAGATACGGCTGTAAGCATGATAAAAGTCTATGCGTGCTCAATTCTATGGCATAATTTCTCACAATTAGGTTCCAACGTATCTGAACTTGGGCAAATATCCTTGTTGAGAGGTCTAGTGCGCGCTGCCGGTCTAAAGCGCGAGTACATTGAGATTTGCAATGTCTTGACTTGATAAATACCAGTGGAATATTAATTATCAAACAAGAAAACCACTCAAGCATCCATGGCCACCGCTCAAACATCTGGCAACCAGGTCCCATCCCCCGTACCTCATCAGCGAATATTCGAAGTCCAGCCTTATTCCATTGATTTATGCCACAAAGCCTTTAACAAGACCAATCAATATCCGCAAAACCATAGGGGAATTGGGCTGGCGTCTCTGGAAAGCAAGGTTCCTCTTGGCAAACCGTCACGATGCTGTCGGACTTAGTCCCTCGGTAATGTTTGTACCTAAATTTCCAGGTACACAGCACGATACAAAGCTCCTTGAGTTGTGGAACTGCCTCGAGAATGCGAGTAATGAGTTTCGAATGCCACTTCCACTGAGCAGAGGTGGGCAGCCAGTACGGCCACTCATTCGACTCAAGAGTGGCCTGCATCGGATCATCTGATTCGCTTTTATTCGGGTCGTCTGATTCGTCTCCGCTTGGACTTGAGACCCTGTGAAACATGTCGCAGTCATATTCGTGGCAGAGCCAATCTTCTTGGAGTGAAAAGGCGAAACGCCGCAATCGGGGCATTGACTTCAGCTGTGTAATAAGCTCATCGACGTACTCGTTCTGTTATGCCTGTATCAGTAATACAACGTTGAGCAAGATTGAGGGCACTTACAAGGTTTGGCAGATTTGTGTTCTTGTAAGTACGGCGACCACTCGACAAAAACATATCAACATCCAACTGATCAAGAATAAGAGCTTCCAAGTGAGGAAATTCATGGTCAATTCTTCGAAGAAGGTTGCTGCTCATGCAGGCAAGTGTTCGTGAACGACTCTGTAACGAAGATACATCAACCTTCAAACCCTTGAGTAAGGGACACGCTGATTTCAAGGTCAAAGAATGATTCTTTGCAGTTAAGCGAGGAAGCTCAATTGCCTTGACAGTACTTGGGGCAAATTGATTGATGAGGGCACTGAAAATCAGCAAGTTCCTACGACCACAAAAGATGGCGGATCTTGGCCCATTCCACTTTGGTGCGTTGCCCAATCCTTCAGCGAAGTCAATCTCGTCCTTGATTTGATTGTCAAAAGAGATCAGATCAATTGAAGATAGCTTGGAGATGAATTCACTGATGACCGCGATTCTGTGTGTCGAAAGGTGCAAATCTGTACGTTCCTCGGCGCGACTGTAGGGTTCGAAGTGAATAGTGACAGACCTGAGGCGCAATATTAGTCGGTGGTTTCAAGAGTCAGACTGTGGGTGGCAATACTTGAGAGTAGGAAGAATGGTCATCATCAAGTGCTTCAAATCACCGGATAGAAAAGACTTCATATCGTGAGCCAGCCTTTTCAAGGATCCAGATAATTTGAGTGTTTTGAAACACTGAGGGAGGAGGACTGATCGAAGACGTTTGGAAACAAGTGTAACAACCATGAAATGCGGAAAAACCTCTGATCCAATCATGAGAATGACCTCGGTCGGCAACTTTTCCAAGGCGCTCAAGGACGTGGGCTTGGTAAGGCTGTTCTTGATGACGGCAGCATGTTCTTTTTGTTTGTCAGTTTCCATGGCTGTGAGAAGGATGATGTTCGGTCGGTCGAAAAGATAGAAATGGGAGATGAAGAGTCCGGAACAAAGCTTGCGACAGGTTTGAAGGGAAATAAAAAACAGAGATTTACTGGGGATTGGATGAGAGAGTCTTGGTGGTCGAGGCAACAGTGAGTAAGGGAGAAGAGAGGTTCAGATTGCCAGTGTCAGCACCAGCCAGTGCCAATCAGTGCCAAAAGGCTCCAGTCCTTCGTTGATCGAAAGCAAGCTTCGCCACTGGGACCTATGATGGAAAAGATGTAAGGTCTCTCCTTCAGTCCGTGAGGCCTGTTCAAGTCGTTGGGACATGAAAACCAAAGAGTTCAATTTGTAGGCAAAACGACCCGTTTCCTCTACGTGTGCGATTGGCAAAGCAGACCAGACTTCCCACTTTTACCTTATCAATTTCACTAAGAATGATTATTGTGTTTGCATGTCAAGCTATGCAAACATGCATTTGCCAGCCAAGTTTGCCTTTAGACTGCTAGCACAAGCGATTGGAAGACAATGTCCTCTTTTTAATACAAAGTTAGAGCTTATCTGATAACTAGTAATCATTTACGTCACGAGAAACCCTTTGGGAAGGTTATTTGTATGCTCATCTTTGTATTTAGTACCTCTAGGGAAGAGAGTCAAAATAGTCTCAATAAAACTTAGGCCTTGTCAACATGGTTTCTTGCGAAACTACCGAATCTTGACCAACAGTGTGTCATACGAAACTAGAAATCCTTATGTCGTCTCAAATAGTATCGTGTTTGATTTTCGGACAAACCCCCCCAGTTCATAAGCCAATGCTGCTTACTTTCCATCTCAAGCACCGCAGTCAGGTATCCTCGAAGCACACTCCGAGGTGTCTGATCTATTCTTCATCCAGTACACACCAAGTCTCTGTCCACGCATTGTCAAATACACATAAACCGTGGACCCGCAAACATCCTAGGACGCAAGTGGTGAGATAGTGCAAAGTAAACACACACAGATTTGCCGGCAATTCTGCTTTCCTAGATTCATATCATTAGAGTAGAAACTTAGGCAATCTTCGGACATCCTACCGAAACTCGTCAATCTCGGGTTGAAGTTTATGTAACGCCCAACAAGACAAATAAGTCTTAGTTAAGGTCTAGTAAGAGGCTGGGAAAGCGGTTCTCCTCCCCGGGGTTGTCGCGAGATTCTCGCTGAACATGGATTTGATCATCACACCTAGTTCCTCGATAGAAGATTGGGTGGTTAGATGAGACACAGAGCTCCACAAGAGTGGGAACTCGAGTCATGATAACCGTCACAAGCTTATCGGTATAGAAATTGTCCATTTCGACCATGGTCTTAGGACGATATGTTCCTTTATAGTCCTCCCAGTCATGTGGGACGAGATGACCATGAAGTCTCACAAACCATAGCGTGAAGGCATAGCGGCGGAGTTCAGGCATCAGGCTTAGCTGACGAACCAGTTTATCGATGGTTCGGTCCTGTCAGAATGTGTTAGCCGTGCTAGGTCTTAGCATGTGGGAGTTTCCCTTACGAAGGCTGCTTGATCGTCAAACCAGACCAGCCCGAACGGCCAAGATCTAAAATCAAGATCAATAGTAAGACTGGGTGTATCTTCGTGAAGGATGAGGGATTCAAGTCGGGGAAAGTCCCTTCTGACTTCACTCAGGAAGTCGTCATCGAGACTTGGGATTACGTTCCGGGCCTTCTGATTTTTGGCCGTTCTGTCAACGTGCAAGGCCTTAAGATATGTGGCATGAAGAGACTTTTCCAACTTCACGTAATGTTTTCGGTTAAACCCTCCAGGCAGCTGAACGGCCCCGAGAGACTTGGGCCAGAAACGCCGAAATACCGCATTGAAGTTTAAGTCCACAGGATTATCCAAAAAGGTAAGAGAGCAGAGCTTGGTAGGGTCGCTGGACCACGACCCGGTCTTGCGCAAGGCCTTGTTGAAGGAAATGCAGTCCCGATGTCGTGGGAAGCTTACAGAAATGCTCACTCCACACAGTCGATCTATTGAGCGAAGCAAAATACCGAAATGCTCGAGGTCGTTCACTGCAAACCGCAAAGGCCAATGAATAACACCCGGAAGATAATAGATTCTGAGGGTGACAAATCTAAATCCAATAAGTACCTTATTTAGGTCTGGTCTAGCTAGCGGTAGTAGAGGAACCATTTATACCTACCTGGTGAAGGTTTGGATCAATTTTCTCATATCTACCGAGATTTTGTCGGCATCCTTTGAGAATAGAGGTATAAAACACCCAGCGATATGTTTCACGGAGCCCGAGAATTCGATCGCCGCATATCGCCGATGGAGAAAGACCTGCCGCAATCTGGTTGAAGTCTTGGTGATGCCTACGAGCTCATCGTCACGCAGATAAGATCCGATGATAAACAGAAGCTCAGTGGGCAACTCTAGAAGCCCTGCAGTTGTGCGTTCCGCCATCTTAATACGACCTTGTTGCTTTACTTCGTGATGTTGTATGTGAGCATGGGCAAGTTTGAGTTGAAGAAAAAGAGAAATTTGGGAGTTAGTTGTGTTATTTGTAGTTAAAGCAGTGACTGAGAGCTACATTCACCACACAGGATTTGTGGAACAGAGGCGCTCAGATAAAGAAGTAACGGACGTAATTAGGCAGCCAACACAGTAACAAGAACCTGACACTTCACTCCACGAGACAAAGAGCGAAATTGCTTTCGCGCCACCGAGGTGAAGGATCGAGAATGGCGAAGTCTTCCTTTTTAAGAACTTGGACCAAGGGATAGACGTAGAGTGACGAAGCGTAGGTCAATCGTCAGAAGGAATTAAGTGACTTGGGCAAGTTTGATAGATATTAGTAAACCCTTAAGCTTTCTGGCTTCTGGGTTTTGGTAAGGCACAGTGACTAGACGAGAACGTCCACAATGCTTGTTCCAGCGCCAATGCCAATTCCAGCTGGTGTTAGTCTAATGATATGCACGATCATGTCTCAGCAGTAACTAATGCTAGTCAGATGAGTAAAATCGGTGATGGCAGTCACATGCACAAAGACAGAAAGAAGAAATTGCCACTTGCTGCAAAACTCGCATTTTGATTCTCAAATATCCGCCTCTGAACTGTGAGAACACCAACTACTACTGCTAAGCCACAGGTTCTGATGCCCTACTGAGTGTGCGATCTTCGTGCTTGGCGCAGAAATCTAACACTTCAGCTTGATCCTCCCACCCTCCTCCAGCTCGAAACATCCACCAAGCTTTAGTTCTCCAAAACATTCGGGAACAGATATTTCTGAGAAGGATCCTCGGAAGACTCCTCAGACATGTTCCAGGCGCCGTCTGTGAGAGTTGCTCGGTAGAGCGTGGGATGTCCAGTTGCAATGCAAACCTCCTCGAGACCTTCCGCATGGGCGGCAAAATAAGTAGTCACCAATTTGCATATGCCTTCAAGCCCGAGAACTTCGAAGGGCACTGGAATCTTTTCCTCAATCATGGCCAACAGTTTCCTCCTGATGGAATTAATAGTCTTGTCGTTAGATCCCATTCCACGCATAGAAAATGCAAACCGACGTAGCCGCGGCAACTTGTCAAGGATTGAAGCGACTCTTGCGGTCTCCCGGGACTTCCAAGGGTGTCAGCAACAGCGATAGGAGTTCAGTAGATAACAAATGAATACTCACCCAGAGCCGTGTATCTGCGTAGTAGTCGTAGCGCAAGAGAGCATTGGAAGACTGTTTTTCATAAATGTTCAATGATTCAAGCTGAGGAAAGTCTGTGCCGATGCTGCTGACAAGTCTAATGCCGAAACCTGTTTGGACTGAGACTTCATAAGAGATGCAAAGGTATTTGTCGAGACGCAGTGAAGTCAGATTGGCGCCGTTGTGTGCAAGTTCGTCATAGTGGTCTGGAAACAGTCCAGAAGGTGCAGAAATTCCCTTTAGGGCCCCGGCTTTGAACTTTCTGAATATTTTACGCATGTCCGTGTCCTCGAGCTCTTTTATGAAATAAACATGCTTAGGACCTTGCCAGTCTGGGCCCCTGCGAATCAAGGTGTTGAACTTGGAAGCCTCTTTGGGGTTTCGAAGCCAGGTATCGAAAATGACGCCGCGGAGGTTAGGGGTATCCGCTAAAAACCGCCCGATGGGTATGGAATTGACTCCGGAGGCTTGAACCCAGGTATACATTTCGGAGATGTCGTTGAATTTTGTAACTTCAAATGTCACAAATCTATCACGGAAGTCAGTGAAGAACTTGAACTGCCATGGCAGTGGAGGCAGCGCACCTCGTGTGATGATGGACTAGGTGACGGAATGAAGCTGTCTTGCGGGCAAAGTAGGCGTTGAGGCTGTTTGTCAATTCTTTCATGTTACCGGCAAACTTGAGATGCTTGCAGAATTTCAAGAGAAAGATTTCGCGAAACCGCTTTGATACGAGCGTCAAGTCCTTGATCTCATTAGCGGAAAGGTTGTCCCCGATCATGCATACAATCTCGGTTGGCATGGTCGCGAGTTCGGGGGTTGTGGATGTTGCCGCCATGGTCGCGATGCTCTGCAAGGGGCCACCTAGCAGAGCAAACAAGCGGATCAAACAAAGAAAAGTTCTTTTATGCAATCAATCTTGAGAAAAGAAAAGAGGGTCCAAATGTCAAGAAGGCTGACGCCTCTACGCCTGCGCTGTGGTGGAGGCTTGTGAATGAAGAGTGGTTTTTGTGGTAAGGCAAGAAAAGAAAACAATATAAGAGAGAAAACACACGAGTTGAAAAGAAGTGGAGATGTTAAAGAAACTCGAGGTTTTCGGTTGTTTGCTAACATGGGTAGAGAATGGTCACTGTGAGTCAGTGAATAACAGATAATGCCTGCCACTGCTAGAAAATGCAAGAGCCCATATAAGGCTTCACAACTCGCATAAACGAAACTATGCAGACATCATTTCTGGCATCAAGGCCCTACCCAGCGTTAAGCCAATCAAACGTATTCAACAGCTCAAATCTAAAGTTCAGCCTCCCCGCTAAACCTGAGCTGAACTGGTCCAATGATCCAACGTCACTCATCGGATCCATACTGTTGAGATGATAATCCAGCACGCGCTGTATCACAATCTTACAGCTCGCACATAGATCGCCGTTTGGTGCTGATGGGTGAACCCAGTCCAAGAAACCAACAAGCAGACTGAGTTGCTGGACAATGCTTGATCGGCTTAGGCGACTGTCCTTGGGGTGTTTGCCATGAAAAGTTGGACTGAGTAGTTCAAGACAGAGAATGCCGCCGCCGGGCACTGCAAATGCCATCAACTACACAAGTTGTCAGAGAGTCTCCAAGTAGGGGGGAACAAAAGCCTTACCAGCCACTCCATATCTCGTCGAATATCTCGGAACCGATCTTTGTGCATCCAAAACATGAGAGTAAGCGTTATCATCTCATATGAAACTAAAAGAACATCTCCTTCATCCGGACACCCATATTGGAGGAGCAGCCTTTCGAGCAAGAACATGTTCTGCAGATGTGTGAGGCGAATGAATATTTTCAATGATACAACATTTGCCTCGACTGGAGGGTCAGAAAGGTCTTTGTCGTACGATCGTATCTCTGCTCTGGGAAGAGGAAGATCGGTAGGGTCATCGGGATCATAAACAAGACACCTGGGAAGTTCGGCAAAGACATTTGACTGCCGTTGCTTCAGATTTCTTGAGGGATTAGCAAGCATTTATCATTGCTTGAACGGGCATTGAATACCTGATAGTCTCAACAGTCGCATTGGAGCCAGAACCAAGACTAATATCAATAATTTCGTTCAATATCTGAGCCATCAAGTAGCCAGCTCGACAAATACTCGAAGGATAAACACCACCTCTCAAGTTCCAGCCACGACTATCAAGTTCAGACACGGCCTTCTCGAGCACAACTCCTCCAGCAAGAAGGTCCTCATCACTCAAATCCAGTGGTGGTGGGGTGGAGCAGAAACGCGGATTAAGCAGAGGAGGTCGTCCCGTAAAAGCTACAATAGCTTTATCAAGATTATAAACTCGACCGAAAAGACGTCGTTTGTGTTCCGAACTCAGCGATGGTCTGTAAGGCCCAGTGAGCTTCTCGGCGTGGACTCCGAGATAAGTCATCACGGAAACGGCATCCGCAAAGGAGCTCCAGCAAATAAGACCTGTCGCATTCTGTAAGTGGCTTGGGGGGGGGGGGGGGGGGGGGGGGGGGGGTGTGCGGCAAGAAAGTCACAACTTACTGGCATCCCCCACAATCATTGATTCCATGATCGCTTTCTGGAACAGAAGATCCAATATGATGACATTGGCCAGCGTAAAGTGTCGAGCCAAGTTGATGCTGTGCCTCAAGAACGCCAAAACCGGCTTGTTCGCCGTTCCGCTCTCCAAGACATGGAACTGGTTCTTCTCAATCGGTTCAAAGGACCCTGGTATCCGTCTCAAAACACTCCAGAGCAGCCCTATTGACTCCCATCGCAGATTCGGCCCACAAAGCTGATTTACCCACTCTTGCGAACTGGTATCAATGTCTTGAAATGGCTGTGCCGTGTTATTGCAGATCTGTTGCGCGATGAGCTCAAGATTGAGCTTCTGCCGGTCTAGCTTCGTCCCGAATGTTGCTTCCAAGGAGTTGATAACAGCTGGAACAGTTAGGTTGGACCATAGTCTGTTCTCATTTTTCGTTCCTTGGGCAACCATGTGTTCGTAGGAAGGACCAAAGACGCAGCCAAGAAGTGCAAGACATGACTGTTTTATCGACGGTGGGAGTTCTTGGAATCTTATTGACTTGTTTGAATGTGAGCACGGCGTGCATGCCTTCTGGGAGTCGAGGTCAGATGAGTCAAGTTGTGAAAGGCAGTTCTTGGTTTCTTCAAATATCTCGTTATGACCTGCTCGACCAAAGAATGGCGGCGTAGGAACCGGTGTTTCCATGATCAATTCAGTTTCAGGCTTTTCGAAGCTTAAGGCTTACAATCATCCGCAGACGAAAGATGATCACGCTCTGATGATTACCTTGGACTCGATATGGCCGCTCCACTCAAATTTGACTTGATGGGTGATAATTATGATCAGCTGTTACTGTTAAAGATTTCATCTCATTATTTTCTCCAGATTGGTGATCTGATGTCTATCAAGTGCTGACGCGGGGCGAAGTCGGATCCTGCAACACGTCACTTGCATTTACACGCTATATGGACTTACTGAGTTTCGATGCCAAGCCCTTTGTCCCTACAGCATCGTGGAACTTGTTCTACCTAAAAAACTTCCAATGCATATTTCCTTGGCCCTTCTTGATAACACTGATCTCACATGTAGTCTAGTGGCCTCCGATCCGTATTTATCATCGATAGTCTTCAAGACAACTGCTAATAGCAAAGCATTACTCGACGGAGATCAAACGGTACTAAGTCACCAGTGTCCGTTCTCTTCAATGACATAGAAACTAACGGATCCGACCTAGGGTCCCTAGTGTACGGTAGCCAAAATTCTAGGTTCGAATTCTCCCAAGCGGGAGATTTAATGACGAACTACAGAAGTCTACATACTCAGGGACAGGGTAGTTGAGGAGGTGAGAGACATTGAGTTGGTGTATACCTTTTGTCGTAGTCCACAGACAGAAGAAGTGACTGCGAGGTGAGCGTCTCTACTCAAAAGGCAAGCTATGAAGCCATGATATATGCAGAGCAGACATAATGTCAATCGAGGGTTCTGGAACAGCAGACGCTTTGCGTAAACGAAGTTGCGCGCCCGTCATCAGAGCTGGCCGAGTGAAGTGTGACAGGGACGACAAAATTCATATCTCATCTGCACCTCCAGAGCAAAAACGTTGGAGTTATTTAGATCGTTATATGTGAGTCTTATCAATATATTGCCAAGAATTGGATGCAGGCAATGCATCAATGCTAGATGACATCTAGTTACTTTTTCCTCCTATCGGGTAGGCCTTCATCCTTCATCTGACTTGAGTGTGGCGGTGTGTGGCTTGACCACCCGCTTTCCCGGCTGTCGGGTTCCGATGAGCCACGGAAAAACGGAACCTCAACGGCCGGACCAATCTTGAACATTCAATCATCAACAACGATATCCGCGACTCTCAGCTATAACATCCGCAACGACCCGCCTGGCTCTATGGAAACGTGATGCCTGACATTGTATGAGCGAATTCTCATTTCCGATCATCCATTGTCGCGCGCAGCTCCATGTCAGGTCAAGAGACCTCTCCACAGTCTCCCCCCGCCAATACACCTAAGCATCGACGACCCTGGACAGCAGCCGAGGATGCGACTCTGAGGACTCTTGTTGGGCACTTTGGTGCTAGTAGGGGGTCTGAGGGTAGATGGAAGGACATTGCATCTGGCCTGGAGGGCCGGACGGCCAAGGTGAGTCGCATCTCTGGACGTGCCTCTACGCGATCATTGCCCTGCATGATGCACGTTCACTGCCAGATGAGACAAGATAAGACAAGACGGGGACTGATTGCCTGTTAGGATTGCAGAAAAAGATGGCTTCACTCATTGGATCCCTCTTTGCGTAAAGGTCGGTGGACATCTCAAGAGGATGAGATCCTCCTCTCAGCTTATGCTCGACTTGGTCCGCTTTGGAATGAAATTGGTAAACCCGCCACTTCTGCAATTACTATATAGTCTAACGCACGCTAGCGCTTCTCATTCCTGGGCGAAAGGATGACCAATGTTCCAAGAGATATAATGACATCTTGAACCCATCTGCCAAAAACCGTCTTAGCGACTGGACTGCCGAGGAAGATAACCTTTTACGTCAAGGTGTAGCAGCGTTGGGCCATCGATGGGTCGCCATCTCATCACGGATACCTGGAAGACCTCCCCTCACCTGTCGTAATCGATGGCGTACGCTCTCACGACTGTCACATAACCGACAGAGCAGATCTCAAGGCACTACCCCATCGTCCTCATCTCAGATGTCCCCATTCGATAACGGGATTTCACCGGCGGCTCATAATCCCAATCTCGGTATTGAGACGAACCATGGAGCGACGGCTGATTTGATGCACTTTCCAATGGATGCCGATATGGGTCATGACCAAATGGGATCGAGCTTTCTCGATTCAGCCTTTTTCGACACCTTCACAGGCCCTTCCCCATCGCCATTGAGAGAATCCGACCCAAGTGACGAAACAGAAACGCCGAACGACGTATCTGTCCCAGGTGCTGCCTCAGAAAATACTGCACCTGTTCCCGATCTTTCTTCGAATATCACGACCCAGACACAAAGCGATCCCAAACCATGGCCTCAGCCTCCGAAACCGCCCCAAGCGCAGCAACATCAAAATGCTCCGAATGCATCTTTCATGCCATCGCCCTCTACTTGGTCATCACTGGGTACAATGCTGCCACCTGGAACTTCTCCCACGGATCAGAATATGTGGCTAGGAATGACTGGCAACCCTCCAACACCGAAGAACTGGACAGCCCCAGGACCAGCAGACTCATCCAACTCATTGCCCCAGTCATTCACTGAACAGTTTCAAGTACCAGCAGTACCAGGAGTGCCAGCATCAACTCAGCAA